ATTCTCCTCCAACACCACAACTCAAAGGCATCAATTCTTCTACGATCTTCCTTATTCACTGTCCAGCTTTCACATCCATATGGGCTATTGAAAACACGATGGCCTGGGTCAGGCGCACCTTAGTCCTCAAGCTGACATCTCTGCTCTTCAACACTTTAAAAAGTTCCTGTGCAGCAGATCTGCCCAATACAATACGTCGTCTGATCTCTTGACTGCTGCTTCCGCGAGTGTTGATAGTTGATCCAAGAAGAATGAAGTCCTTGACAACTTCAATCTTTTCTCCATTGATAAGAATATTGTTTATTGGTCCAGTGGGAGGATTTTTGTTTTCTTGACATTGAGATATAATCCATATAGAAAGCTGTGCTCTTTGATCTTCATAAGTAAATGTTTCAAGTCCTCTTCACTTTCAGCAAGCATTCTCAACACTAGCATACTAGAAAAATAATCTGAAAAAAAAAAAAAAAATCAGAAGAAAACCTAAGAGTTATTTGGGACACCATGAAGAGGAACAATTTATGGGTGATTGGAATTCCAGAACAGATAGAGACAAAAAGAAGCAAGAGAAAATTGAAGAGTTGGAATGAAACTTCCCTAACATCATGAAAGATGAGAAGCTGAACAAATCCCAAACAGGATAGATCCCAAAAGAAAATCACTAAGCCATATCATAATCAAACTTCCCCAAACCAAAGACAAGGAAAGAATCCTGAAAGCAACTAAGGAAAAACAAAATTATCTACCAATGAGAACCAGTAAGACTAAGCTCTGGTTTTTCAGCAGAAACCATGCAGACAAGAAAGCAATGGAATGACATATACAAAACTGAAAGAAAAATTGCCATCCAAGAATCATATACCCAGCAAAGCTGTCCCTCAGATATAATGCCAAAACCAGGACATATCCTGATAAACTTAAATTAGAGGAATTTGTAATGACCAGACCAACTTTACAAGAAAATTCTAAAGGATGTTCATTCTTTGGACTGAGAACCAACAACAGCAGACAACAGCCTTAGATTACCATACATGGCAATACTACCCAGAACTCAATCCAGATATATAAATGTTTAAATTAATATAAAGCTAAAAGACTGAAAATAGTGAACCAGAGATATCAATGTACGATGAAGTTAACTAAAAAGCAAAAAAAGGGAAAGTGTAGAGACAGAACTTTCAAATGGCAAGGAAGTCAAGCAGATTTAAAGATATAACAGACTGTTTAAGGCAGGGGGAAAAATAACACATTCAAATTCATACAAAAGACCAGACTTACTAGATTGATGAGAGACTGGAAGAACCCTCGAAATTATCACCCTAAAATATTCTTTTAACCTAGAACTGAACCCATTCCCAAAGGTCAACTCTCCGCCAATAAATTGATTAGATTGTAAAATAAATAGTATTACTCATGAATAATGTACCCCTTAAACAATTAATTACATCATGAAACCAAATGGTCAACATTTATCCAAAAGCAATAATGAGAAAGCAAGGAAGTGAAGGAAAGCAAGGTGAATGAAAACAATGAGAATGCTGATACAATGAGAAAATTGTAACTAGTGTCATAAAACAATGAAAAATTGTTCAATAAAAATGAATTTGCTTTGTAAACCTTTGCATAAAAAAATAAAAACCAACAGAGATTCATCGTAGAACTCTTTGGGGGTAAGGTGGTGTCCACTCACTCAGGCATCCCCTCTAGTCACCAGAGTGGAGGTGCACAGACAGCGAAAGACCAATGAACAGAGGGAAAAAAAGAATGTCCACACCTTTATGTCCCAGGATCGGTCAGACATCTACAGTGGGAGCGCTCCTCTGATCCTTCACCTAGTCTGTCACGCCCAAAATGGCCTCTCCAGGAGCAGCTGGAAGCTGCAGATCAGAAAACAGCACCTTTTTTGCTTCTGCTCCAAATTCTACTAGCTATGGTGAACAAAAGAATTGCCCAAATTAAGTGATTCTTCAGGGTCCATCATTCATTCCAGTGGGAGCAGCTGAGGAGAGGAAGAGAAAAGGAACAGTCATCCAGGCACCAGCCTATGCAAAGTGCTAAATGAGACAGGAGAGAAGAACTGAGCAAGAATCAGGCACAGGCTTGCAGTTTAATCTCTGTATACATTCATTTGCTTTGCTTCCTTTTATGTCCACAGTCTGTACCTTATAGTTGGCTAGTCATTTCCACATCCATTCAGAAAGTCAAAGAAGACAGAGAAACAAAATGTCGAAAAGTGGCTTAATGTACAAATCCTGTGTCTAGAGGGTATTTTCATGTGGAAGAGAGAAGCAGTAAAACAGAAAAGACCAACCTGAAATAAGGAGCTCCGATGATGCAAGAGTTAAGCACCCGACTAATAAAGTACAGATTTACGGTTCAAATCTACTCAGGGGTCCCACAGGAGAAAGCTCTGGAGATTTGCTCCAGTAAAGATCTTTGTTCTTGTTATAGATCATGTTCAGACATGTTATAGAATAGAACTGGTCCACAGGCTTTCTTAGGCTGTGGTCTTTACGAGACATGGCAAAATCTTTTCTCCTGTAGAGTCACAAACCCAGTGCTTAACCTTTATGCCACCGACGCTCCTTTCAGCCTAGAAGACCCTCTGGGGCAGTTCTACTCTGTCACGTGGGATTACAAGGTACCAGAATGGACTCAGTGGCACTTGACAATAACACTTGTAATAATTGTTACTGGACCTTAGGCTAAAATACTTTTCACATAGAATGAATTTTAGTTCTTGTATTTAGAGGGTATGGTTCACCATGAGATGGAGTCCACTGGGTGGCAATTAATTAACCATAAGAAACATTTCACCCCTCTTTGCTCAGAAACTTTATCTCTAAAATAATACCTAGGTCAACAATTTTGTGCGAAAAGGTAACAACAACTTCAGTAAATGGTCTCTCACTTTCCCTGGAATAGAGTAGGCATCAATTAGGAAGTAGACAGTTCTCGTTATTTTATTTTATTTTGGCTTTTACGAGGAGCTCTGGTAACGTAGTGGTTATGAATCTGGCTGCGAACCTCAGGGACAGCAGTTCAAAACTACCCGCTGTTCCGCAGGAGAAAGATGAGGCTTTCTGCTCCCGTAAAGGTTTACCACCTCAGAAACCCTGTACAGGGTCACTATGAGTCAGAACTGACTCCACGGCACATTACAACACCAACAGTCATCTCTACATAGATATAGGAAGCTTCTGCCTCTGAAATGCTTACCCTTTGCTATTATTACCAGTATAAAAAACAGGGGAAATGTAAATGCTGCCACCACATGTAACTCCATTTCTCAATGCTAATTCTTCTCAGGCACTAAGGGTTCACTGACAAAAAAAATAACATTTAAGGAAACCATCTTGCTCTTACAATACTGCAGGTCAGTCATCCGGAGGCTTGAGTCTGACAGTGTATCTGGATTCTCTATGACTTGCAGGAAAGAGTAACCACAATAGAAGGTGGATATTTTACATCAAATTATTTTTATGATTTATTCACCTGGGTGATGTCATCTGCATCATTGCACTTTTGATGCCTGTGTCCAAACTCCACGTGTTCATAGTTAATGGAAAATAGGAGCCCTGCCTGAATGTACTTCAGTGTACCTTGAGAACATCATAGTCTGTCAATCGTGCTAACAGAAATTGCCCATAATCTTGTCCATAATATTGGGATTTTCTTGTTTGGGGCCTATCTGATTCTTTTCCACATGCTTTCTGTTGAAACCTAAACATTTGTGATGAACGATAAGAATTTTTTAAATGCCTATTTAATGTTCTCATAAGTGTCTTTCATATGCAGACGTGTATTATCACATAATAAATGGCATTCTTTGACAAAAACCAAACAAACAAACAATAGAATATTATTAAATAAACAAAGCAATGGTGGTTGGTTTGGTAAGTTGTTTGCCGCTGAGTCGGTTCCCACTCATACTGACTATGTATAGGGTTTCCAAGGCTGTAAATTGCTATGGGAACAGAAAGCCTAATCTTTCTCCCATATATTGGCGATAGATTCGAACTACTGACCTTGCAGTTAGCAGTAAATAAAAGCAAACCTGTATAGGGTTTCTGAGGAGTTGCTGGTGTTTTTGAACTGCCAACCTTGCAGTTAGCAGTCCAAGGGCTTATCCTACAGTACAACACCAGGATTCCAAATAAAACAATAGAGAAATAAAATTTTTAAATGTAAAGGTAACTGATCCGACTTGTTTTGATCTTTGGGTCACTTTGGATCTGAACTGCACGAATAAAGAATCAACTTGTTCTGACTTGGGTCACAATCTTCTAAAAGAAAACTGAAATTCTATTGCCCAAAAGGAAGGCATAGATACTGATAAAGCAAAATCGACTGTCTGTATATGTGATTGGAGTCCTGGTGTGGCACTGTAGGATGAGCATTGGATCACAAGGTCAATTTGAATCATAAGATCAACGATTCAAACACACCAGCCGCTCCTTGGAAACCCCATACAGGATCACTTTGAGTCGGAATTGACTCGTATGGCCTTAACAACAACAACATAAAATGTGATTACCTCTAAGATTATGAGTGGTTGATTTTCTTCTCTGTTGTCCAAATGTCCAACACAAACATGTGCAATTTTTATAACCAACAAAAAAGCTATTTTCATATTCTGGTTCCCAAAGTTGACAAAGTCATAGCTTCCCTGTCATATTTTAGCCTCAACAAAATTTTGTTTCGGTTTGGTTTTGTCTGGAACTTTGCATGCTTCCAAGATAGTGAGTGGCATTGGGATTGGAAAGGAAGGACATACAGCAGAAACACTATAAAGATTCTAAGAAAATTTGGGCCCTAACTAGTTACACGAGGCAGTGAAGGGTAAATTAAACTTGATGCCATGCTTTCAAGCTAGAGTTGCATATAAAATGGTGGTCCATTGATAAAGTCACTCAAGTGGTAGGCATGGGACAGTGAACTCTCTAGGGTAAGGAAGATGATGAGTTGTAGAAAGCAGTTTCCATTTTCTTCTCTGACCTCAGGGCAGATGATGAGTCTTCAGAACCAGTGAACACCAATGTGGTTCTGCGGTATGATGGGCTGATCACCTGGGATGCGCCAGCCATCACCAAGAGCTCCTGTGTAGTGGATGTCACCTACTTCCCCTTTGACAAACAGCAGTGCAATCTAACCTTTGGTTCTTGGACCTACAATGGCGATCAGGTGGACATATTCAATGCCCTGGACAGCGGAGACCTCTCTGACTTCATTGAGGATGTGGAATGGGAGGTCCATGGCATGCCTGCAGTGAAGAACATGATCTCCTATGGCTGCTGCTCTGAACCTTACCCAGATGTGACATTCACTCTTCTTCTGAAGCGGAGGTCCTCATTCTATATTGTCAACCTGCTTATTCCATGCGTCCTCATCTCTTTTCTGGCCCCCTTGAGTTTTTACCTTCCAGCAGCTTCTGGGGAAAAGGTCTCCCTGGGAGTGACAGTCCTCTTGGCCATGACTGTATTTCAACTAATGGTGGCAGAGATCATGCCAGCCTCAGAAAATGTCCCTCTAATAGGTGAGTTCAAGTGTCTTGTACGTTGAGCCTTTGTAGTGTGTGCCTTTAAACTAGTAACATCGGGACCAACTTCAGACTCAATACTGGCTGTCACATAATTCATTGGAGGTCTGCAATAGACATCTTTAAATACATACCAGGCTTGTTTTAACAAGTCCTTTGAATGATTCTGATGTACTTTCTGTTCTACTCTGAAAACCACAGGTTAAGAGCTCTGACATTTGAACTCTGACTTCACCACTCATTTCCCTCAGATTAATGAATCTGAGGGAAATGGCTTCATTTCTTAGCCTAGCCTTCTTCAATTGCACCATTTGGTTACTTGCTACCTCACTGTATCATTGCTTAGCAAAGAGCTTGGCATAAGGTAAACACTGAGTAAATAGTGATATTAATTTCTCACATTATAAGAGTCTTCTTCTTGGGAACAGTGGTAACTATGATTGAAATTAGCTGAATTTTTAAGCCTGTTTTTAATAGAATAATTAATAACTTTTACTGGGTATAAAAGCTATGGGAGAGCTTATTAAGATATACCTTCCCACACCCAGAGAGTTTGATTTAGCTGTCTTAGGCAGGATTTGGAACTAAACATTTTTAAGAAGCACTTGAGGTAATTCTAAAGTAGAACACATTTCTAAAAAGTTACAATGATGAAAAGTCTCTCCAATGATTGGAGTGCGGAGTGACGCTACCTCCCCTGCCTCCCTTCTCCTTTATCTACTTTGTTCTGAGATCTTTCCCACTGCCTTTACCACCTAGTTCCTGACTCCAAGCATACCTTAGATCCAACGTCTCTATCTCCATGACTTGCAGTTGTTATAGATGCTTTCCAGAATCAGAAACTAGACCTAATATTTAGTTCCTTAAAGTAAAACAATGAGGGGAAATTCTGGAACACCAAGAGATCTAAAGAAAGAGATAATTCTATTGCCTTCTTACGTTCTATTGAATTTATGTTGCCCAATACTTTGTTTGCGTAGTGGTTACGAATCAGGCCGCAAACTTCACGGTCAGTAGTTCGAAACTACCAGCTGTTTCGCAGGAGAAAGATGAGGCTTTCTGTTCCCATAAATATTTACAGCCTCGGAAACCCTGTTCAGGGTCATTATGAGTCAGAACTGACTCCACAGCACATCACAACAACAACAATATTCGTATGGCGTACTGGTATGGAGCTGTGGGTTAATGCGCTGAACTGCAGTCATTTGAACCTCAAGGTCAGTGATTCAAGCTCACCAGCTGCTCCTAGGAAACCCTATACGGGGTCGCTATGGGTCAGAACTGACTTGATGGCACTTAACAACAACAATATTCATATGTTACTGCATTGATTTTTCTAGAGATTTCTTCCTTTTGTGACTCTACAAATGATACACACTCAATCTTCTTTTATGAAGTTTGTTTCTGCCTACAGATAAAGAGAAGATTTAATGGCATTATTCTTTCTTCTCCTGAGGCAGAAATGATGACATCCAATCATAACCTTGTTTGAGGCAAGATCATTCGGCAAGTCTCTCGTCTTCAATTACTACTCATAGCACAGTAGACCTGCTGCATAGGGTTTCCAAGTCTGTCAGTCTTGACTGAAGCAAACTGCCTCGTATTTGTTCCTTGGAGCGCTGGTGGCTTAGAACTGCTTTCTGTTAGCAGTCCAATGCTTAACCCACTCGTCACTAAGGCTGAAACAGCAAGCTAGCGCAGTTACTGTATTTTGTAAGCATTACTTGTTCAGTTTGATCATGTAAAGTTGATCATTTTAAGAAGTGTGAACACATATTTTGATAATTATTAATAATAACAATTTATTATTTGCATTGACATATTGTAAGTTTCCAGGGAAACATGATTAAGTTAATTTTTCTAATTACTTTAAAAAAAAAAAAATTCCAGGGAGAATTTTAGTTGAGATTGCATGGAAATTTAGATGAATTTAGAAAGAATCACTAAGCTTTATTGCAATCAATTGCTGTCAGAGTGATGTTAGTTACCATCTAAAAAGAAGTCTCACCATGGAGGAGGGCCACACAGAGCCTGCCTCCAGGAGCATTCCATTGTTTTTAGGTGTCAGGACCACCAGGAAAGACGTGTTTACTTGCAGGAAAGATAAGCAGAGTCTCTTCAGGATCAGTAGTGGACATCAGTCCCCCATGAACAATTGGGCTACATGCACGCCCTCTCGTTTGTTTCTTTTGTTGTTGTTAGGTGCCATCCAGTCGGCTCCCCCTCATAGCAACCCTATGCACAACAGAACAAAACATTGCTCGGTTGTGCACCATCCTCACAATAGTTTTTAAGCTTCAGCCCATTGCTGCTGTCACTGTGCCAATCCAGCTCATTGGGGGTCTTCCTCTTCAGGTGAAAGACCCCATTCCCTCTCATGGGGAACAGATAAAGATGTAGGGTTGGCCAGGGGTCATAATACACAAATAAGTATAATAAAGAAGTATACATCCAACCCATTATATATATATATATAGTTGTTGTTGTTGTTAAGTGCTGTCAAGTTGGTTCCGACCCATAGTGAC